TTAGAACAACAAGACATCATCTGTAAATATCAATCAGGCTTTCATGCTATTCATTTAACTGTGACGGCTATTCTTGAGGCCACGGATACTTGGGCATATAATATTGACCGTGGCAAAATCAATGCTGTCATATTCCGAGATTTAAAAAAGGTTTTCGGCACAGTGGACCACGAGATCCTTTTATCAAAACTAAACCTCTACGGTATTAATGGTATTGCCCATCAATGGTTTCAGTCATATTTAGAGGACTGCACACAAATGTGTTCCATCAACGGTCTCCTCTCTAGCAGTTGTTCTTTAAGTTGTGGTGTCCCTCAGGGTACTATCTTAGGTCCATTATTGTTTCTATTATACATTAACGATCTTCCCAATTGCCTGTCAAATTGCGAGCCTCGGATGTATGCTGATGATACCCATCTCACATAGGCGAGCAAACAATATTCACAACATTGAGACAAGTTTAAACGAAGACTTAGAAAATGTTCACAATTGGCTAAGAGCAAACAAACTCACTCTAAATATGACTAAAACCGAGTTCATGTTAATTGGATCTAGGCAGAGGCTAAGTACTGTGACAGTTTCCCCAACACTTGCAATTAATTATTTTTGAATTACCCTAGTCGCTACTGCTAAATCTCTTGGAGTGACCATCGATGATAATCTCGATTGGGGTAGTCATATGGAGAAGATAATAAAGAAATAATCTTCTGGCATCGGTGCCATAAAGCGAGTAAGGCACCTTGTCCCCCAAGCGACCTTACAACTAAATTACCAAGCTCTTATTCACCCTCACTTCAATTATTGCAATACTGTTTGGGGAAACTGTGGGATAACCTTAAGGAACAAACTTAAAAAACTACAGTAGTTGTACAGTATTTACTTCTGTTTCTATACGGCTTTCATGTAAAGAAGTTATGTAACTTATGAAATTACCGTATTCAAATAAAAGTGAATCAATCAATCAATCAATCTATCTATCTATCTATCTATCTATCTATCTATCTATCTATCTATCTATCTATCATCTATCTATCTATCTATCTATCTATCTATCATCTATCTATCTATCTATCTATCTATCTATCTATCATCTATCTATCTATCTATCTATCTATCTATCTATCTATCTATCTATCTATCTAACCAGTCTGGATTTCGTTCCCTTCCCTTCACTCTACAGTGACAGCGCTGTTACATTTAACAAATAATTGGTATCTTAACATTGACAAAGGCATGACCAATTTGATTGTGCTTCTCGATCTTGCCAAAGCCTTTGACACCGTTTCACATAATATTTTATTAAAAAAGCTTGAGCTTTGTGGTCTGAAGGGTGTAACGCTCGACTGGTTTTCATCGTACCTATCAGATAGGCAACAGCAGTGTGTAGTAGAGGGCTGTGTATCTAAGCCCCAGTTGATAAGTTGTGGTGTTCCACAGGGTTCAATTTTAGGCCCTTTGTTGTTTTTAATTTATATCAATGATCTCCCTGGATGTCTACTCCATACCAAAGCACACATGTATGCCGATGATACCACGATATATGCGTCCTCTGTATCCACTGCTGAACTATACTGCCAAGGTAAATAATGACCTAACTCGCGTTAGGGACTGGCTTCTTGCAAATAAGTTAAGCTTAAATGTCACTAAAACGGAGTGTATGTTCTTAACAACTACCTTCAAATTATCTAACTTAGGAAGAGACTTTCCAATTAAGATTGGCAACAATCATGTTAAACGAGTCCAAACAACAAAATATTTAGGAATTCACTTAGATGAAAATCTTAAATGGAACGAGCATGTTGACAAACTTTGTTCAAAAGTCAATCGATCCATCAGTGGTCTAAAACAGGAACGTGATTATGTACCATTAGATGTTCTAAATACTATTTACAAATCTCTTATCCAGCCTGTGTTCGACTACTGCGACGTTGTTTGGGACAATTTAGACCAGGGACTTGCCACTAGGATCCAGAAATTACAAAATCGTGCTGCACGCATAATAACCTTTCAAGGTTATGACGTTCGTTCAGCACAAATACGAAAACAACTAAACTGGGAAGAGCTTGCCTCAAGGCGTCAAAGGCACTTAAGTATATTAATGTATGATACAGTGAATGGAAATATACCTAGTTACTTAAGCGATCTTTTCTCGAATGTCTGAGAGAACAACCCTTATAAGTCTATGCTAAGAAATGCGGAATATAATGTTGTACTGGACCACGTTCCAAAAACAGAATATTATAAGGGGTCTTTCTCATACAGAGGAGGAATGCTGTGGAATTCTTTACCAAATGACATAAAAGCGTCCGAATCTAAAGCTATCTTTAAAAGAAAACTGGCTAGTAGGCAGGCAAACTGTTGACTACATTTTACTATATTTTATGATTTGTACATATTTCTAGTGTAGTTGTACAGTATTTACTTCTGTTTCTATACGGCTTTCATGTAAAGAAGTTATGTAACTTATGAAATTACCGTATTCAAATAAAAGTGAATCAATCAATCTATCTATCTATCTATCTATCTATCTACTTTAAAAATAGCCATGAAGAGTAATTTCCCCACTACTGCAAGAGTGCCAACTGATGGATGAGTAAACTAGGAACCCTAGGCAACTAGGCAAGCTGTAAGAGCAAAACAAAATACTACATACCAAAGTGCAAGGTTCACAGCAAAAAGTCATCTTTTCTGCCGGACTATTACATTACTTATTTATTACTTAGATTTGTATTTCAGTTGTATCTTGGGTACGTGCGTTATTTATTTATTTATTTATTTATCTAATTGACGTGTACATTTAGTTCGTTAAAAATATAGTAACGTCTTAATTTTACTTTGCGTTATTTTCCTCACTTATATGTGTTGTCCGTGACTGTGCTCACATTGTGTGTGGCTCCTCCTAAAATGTTCTGCAATTGGTATAGGATTTAATGGAGCCGAAACCAATTGTGGAATTGCACACATTTTAGGTATCCTACTGATGAACAGTTACGACACGTATTTTTTAGCAACTGCTATAATTTTCCGTCTGTTCACTTTGAATATTTACGCCCAGTTTTACGCTCCGCTGCGTCGCGTGCAGACATGTCAAATTACGGAAGCAAACAGATCCCACAAAAAACCGGATTGGCAAGCTATCTTGTTTCAAAGTCGCATGCACTTTTTCTCGCTTCCCCGAAAAAACAAATTCTGGCACCCGGAGTTAGTGCTTTCCACATGCTGCTTCAGAGTTTCCAAAAAGTGTCCCGTAATTTCCCAAAAACTTGCTGAAAAGCTGCTCAAAAACCAATGAAAAGTTGCTTTTTGTATCGAAAGTTGCTCAAAAGTTGCTCAAAGAAACAAACACTTTTTTGGTCTGATTCTAAAATATGCAAGTTGTACAACAAAAGTTAAGATTTCTAAGCATTTTTGTGCAAGTTGGCGGCGTAACAAGCGTTGCTAAATAACTTTGTCCTTAAGTAAAACCAAAAACTGTAATGAGCCAATAAAATTGTTAAATGATCTTCTTCACCCGAGACACTCAAGTCAGTCGAGTGTGATGCTGCAGCTCATTGTCCTCTGCACTTGCACAGGGCAGTACATGGAAGATGTGACTTGACACATTTGCATCGCCCTTTACATCCCTTCTCAGGATGACAGCTACATTTCAGCAACAGTTCAAATGCCTTGGACACCTCTGGGAGTAGAGTCCAGACAGGCTCCAACTGGCCGCTTGAAGACTACTGCCACCCCCATTCTGATGGAGACGGGAGATTTGGAATGGCTATGAGGGCCTTACCCTAACAATGGCCTGCCATGTAGGCTGCTCACTTAAACTGCTCCAGCAGAGCAGCAGACGTGGGTGGAATTGACCCAGCAGTGAGGACATGAAATGCCGGAAGAGCTAAGCTTTTCTCAGAACCCAAGACAGCTTCAATTTTGTGAACCTCGATGTAGCAGAATGCCTTGCCAGAGCCAAGGACAATCCACATTTCGCTGGCGCTGAGCCTCCTTAACACAGAAATAGCTATAACAACCACGTCGGTATCAACTCTGCGGATCAATAGCCTCTTATTGCCTTCTCTTTCTGAATTCAGTTAGTGAACGAAAATTCCCGTATCGGCTTCCTCGTGCGTGGATGGTGATAAATCACCAGTGTCTCCACTTGTGTTGCTTACCACTGACTGGTCTTAAGATAATATTACCTTCTTATCAAAACCGTCAACGGTCGAGCACATCACTGCCAAGAACCTGAACAGTTACTTTTTGTTTTCGTCTACCCTGAGGAATCCATCCCAGTTCGCTGGTATGGGACTGTTAGGCCCAACTCGCCAAACAATGTCTATCCTGTTGACATGAGGTTTCAGCTGCTGTTGCACATAGCTCAGAAAGACGTTAACAATTGCCACACCATCTAAAATTACTGCTTCAACGAGGGGAGGATCACTCTGATTGGATGGCGAGAGCTCCTCAAGGCACTTAGCTAGATCGGACTTAGCGCACGAGTGCACGCTTCCAAACTTGGCAAGCGATGGCGGGTACGCGTGGTTTTCATGACCAAAAAAATCACTGAAGTCCGCTCCACGGATCTGGCAGCTGATAAAAGACTGTGCAAACAGAGTGCAGTCTTCTTTAAGAGATGTTAAGCACTTACGTTGTTGTCGCTTTTCCTTGTTATCGGCTTACTAAACAAGGCGAGGTTGTTCTTATTAATAGGCTCAAATAAAGAAGTTTCTCGTTTGACAAGCCGCCTTTCAACAATGCTTCAAACGAGTCCTGGCCAATGCGCTTGACTTTATCAACAGTTGAAACAACACTTGAGTTAGCGACGTCTCGAGTATCTAATACTATAAGATCGGAACTTGGATCACCGAAAGAGTTCCCCATTCATCCAGGGCTTTACAAAGGCCATTTACCTCCTTTTGAAAAGCCGCCTGCTTGCTCTTGACTTCTTCGTGGTGGCGGAATGTACCGGTGTCGTCTTCTTCTAAGCCTTGCCGATGACCCTCAGCATCTTCAAACTAGGACACCATACGTGAGATTTCCGGCCCAGATACCATCCTCCTCAATAGTTCTGATGAATTTTCGGTTAGGCCCACTGAGCCCCCGTCCCCTTTCACGATCTTATTGTTCTGTTCGTGGGCATGGTCTAACGCAATGGCTGAGAAAGGTTTCTGGGTCTTGTGAATGACAAACTTTCCATTTCTGAACTCTTCTGCTATCTGAGGATGCCGATCGGGGAGAGCCAGCATGTCTCTTAGATGCACTGAAAGCCACCGAGCATAATGCATGTGATCTAGAGCGAAAAACCATGTAATCAGTCTTTCCAAACTATCACAATACAGAACCACATCACCTTGTCGTATTGATTGCACAAATGTTAGCACAGTTATTTCTAGTTCCATGACGAGGTACCAATAGTTAAAGAGTGGGCTTGCTTCGATTCTTCGTTTCTTCCACTCCTCAAACGACTGAGGAGGCTCTTCACACGATCGTAGATAGCCACTGTATACTCTCTGCATAAGACTGTATAGAGCGCAAGCAATGACTTGGTGTGCATGGTGGGCACGTGAGATGGGTGATACCCTCAAAAGTGTATCATCGCTTCCAGGAGTAGCAATATTAGCATTGATTATCACTGTCTTTCAGCCGCTTTCAGCTAGCCAATCTCCGAGGGTCTTCCATGCACCACTTTCTATGTGTAATGCCCCAAACATTGCGAAGAACTTCGGTTCGCCGTAGAATTCTGGGAATTTCTATTGTACAAGTTTTGTGATGGCATACAAAGGTTGGTCCCAAGCAATTGCCGGTACTTGACCAGGATTGAGGAACTCGACAGCTTTTCTGATTACATCAATTACGTGTCTCACCATAGCCGGTGAGTTGGAATCTTCTCTGAAAAGGGGGAGCAACGACGTAGTATCTGTTTGAAGGTGTGATGATTGCTACTGGCGTGGTATACAGACAAAGATACGTCCATCGCCTGACTTTCATCGTCTCCGCTTTGTTCCACCACATCTGACACGTGCTTGAGCCAGGTTTGGTTAGTATCAAGAGCGACAGGCAAGGCCTTCATTTCATCGTTAAAAGTCACGTTAGCCTCTGGTACATCAGGCTTCTCCTTGGGAAGAACGAATGGCCTTACAGAGGCATATTCTTCGGTGACTGGTGAAATGGATGTTTTTGCGATAGCATCGCTGCAAATACGGGTAACTCTTCTTGTCTCTGCCGGGTTGTTTTCTGTTGGGTGTTGGAATAGGGATATTCCCGTACCATGGAATGATCCCTTGGCAGTTGTAGCACTCGGGTTATGATCAATATTATCATATGCGCTAGTTGTAAATAGTCTTTTCGTAGATTTGAGGGACACAAAACCTCCTCTTGATGAAATTGCTGACATACAGCGTTCCCTATGTTTGTGGGGATTTCGGGCACCCAGTCGTACGAAATTGACATACCCAAGTTGTACAATTTATCTACCAGTTCCCGTTTTCTAGTGTTTGCATGAGCCATCAACCCTGTGTCTACTGCTACTGGTGGTTCTCGCTTTTTGGTGTTATAAGGTGCTAACGAATCCTGTCGCCGACGAATGGTGGAATTATATCTGCTAGGTTAACAACATAAAAATTATAGTAATAATTATGTATACAAAAATAGTACAAATATATTCCCACTCAATCGTTTTTTAAAATATGTTTTGGAAGGCAGTTTCTAAGTGCAGGACTGGTAACCTGCTAGCTGTAGTGCTTGCAAGCTAGTTTTTACTCAACATATCCAGCCTCTCCATGGTTTTAATGTCTAAGTATCAGGCTTTTTCGAACACCCATATCACCATTATTCGACCTCCGGAGCGATAATCTTGCTGTATTTAAACGGGAACACAGGCTTGCATAATGCACTGTGGGCTGAGGAAAATGGATTTACCTGCGTATATCCTGTGTAGGGAGTGAGAGGGGAAAGGACGGGCTCTAAAAGCGAGCGCTGAGGAAAAGCTCGCACATTCTTCCCTCCTTCCAATTCCCCTAGCTTCCCACTCGCTTTTTTCTCTCCTTCCCCTTTGCGCTTGCTACGCAGGTTGACTTGAGTGCAACCTGGTTTGAAATAGGTACATAGCAATGCATTGTTCGTAAAGCTAGTGAATATGCAATCGAGCATTAAATGTTATAATTGCGATTTTAAACAGCTTGTACCCATCGGTAAGGACGTAGTAGCTTTCCATGAGCTTAGTTATTGTGTTGATCAACCAGATAGGAGTATAAGAGCAACTAAGTCCCGACCCCCACAAAAATGTCATCTTTACAATGCCCCCTCTTCCGTCAGTAAGCCCTCTTTCGGTGTAGGTAACCAGCCTGACAAGCTGAGATCTGGTGAGACAAGTTTCCGATATATCTTGGATTCTCTGGCTTCCATGGAAACATTCAACAGAAGGCTTACAAGTTGTAGCAGTGGCTGGGGGACAGGTTATAATTTTGTCCACAATCCACGTAAAGATAGGACAGGTGGAGGTGTAGGTCTATATTTAGCGGACAATTTTGATTTTAAATGTCGACCTGACTTAGTTTTTTCTTGCACTGAATGTGCTGAGTCTTTGTGGAAATCAATAGGCCGAAAGAGGAAAATATAATTGTAGGTGTGGTTTACAGGCCACCAAATTCAAATTTACGAGATTTTATGAATAGCCTGGATTCGTTGCTTGCAAGTATCTCTAAGGAAAACAAGATTTGCTATGTTTTAGGTGACTGGAATCTAGACTTAATCAACCACCATTGTCATGACACAACTGGAGAATTGTTAGAAACTATGTATTCAAGAATGTTTTTTCCATTGATCACACGTCCGACAAGAATAACTTCTAACACGGCTACGCTAATTGATAATATTTTCACGACCAATGTAAACAACTTATCAGTTAGCGGGCTGATGTTTTGTGATATATCTGATCATCTTCCGATTTTCACACTGCTTCTTGATCAAAACAAGAACTTAAATAAAACTTCTTGGCTTTCTTTTCGTGATAAAAGTGGAAATAATGTCGCTAAGTTTAAAGATAGGCTTGCAAACGTTCATTGGGATGAATTATCTGAATGTAAAGATACTGATTGCGCTTATCGGTGTTTTCTTGATAAATACACTACCATTTACAATGACTGCTTTCCTCTCAAAAAAGTGAAAGTAAAGAATGTTACTTTGAGCAAACCATGGATTACTAAAGGTCTTTTTAAATCGGTAAGAAAAAAGAATTTATTATACAAGTGTTTCCTTGCTAACCCAACTCCATATCGTGAGAAACTTTACAAGAGTTATAAAAACAAATTGACACATTCCCTTTGCGTTGCTAAACGTCTCTACTACAATAAAAAGTTAGATGAATATAAATCAAATGCAAAATCAACTTGGAAATTACTTAACGATCTTATTAACAAGAAGAAAATTAAGTGTAAGTTGCCTTCCACCTTCAAATCTAATGAAGAAGAAATATGTAATCCTTCTCATATAGCAGACCGTTTTTGCGAGTATTTTACGAATATTGGACCTAACTTAGCTAAATCGATTCCGGCGTCTGACAAATCTCATCGTTCTTTTCTGAATGGAGGCTTTATTAATTCATTTTTTCTTCAATCGGCATCAGAACAAGAAGTCACTGAGATTTGTAGCAGCTTTCGATCCGGTACTGCTCCAGGATATGATAGTATTTCAATGAATGTTGTTAAAGAGTCTTTTAACTTAATCTGCGCACCATTGACGTATATAATTAACTTGTCTCTTAATTCTGGAGTTGTGCCCCAAGAGATGAAAATTGCACGAGTTATTCCATTGTTTAAATCTGGTGATAAATTTTTGTTTACAAATTACAGACCCGTATCAGTGTTACCAGTTTTCTCTAAATTCCTAGAGAGAATCGTCGACAATCGCCTCATTATTTTTTTAAATAAATATGATATTCTTTCCCGGAATCAGTATGGATTCAGAAAAAATTATTCTACCGCACATGCTTTAATCCAATTGTATGACAAGATCTCAAATGCACTTGATAATAAAAGGGTAACTTTAGGCCTATTCATTGACTTATCTAAGGCCTTTGATACAGTAAATCATGAAATTTTGCTCGACAAATTAGAACATTATGGAGTACGTGGTATTGCTTTACAATGGTTTAAAAGTTATCTATCTTGTCGAAAACAATTTGTGCAATATAATGGTTACAATTCTTGATCATTAGATATCACTTGCGGAGTCCCTTAGGGATCTATATTAGGTCCCCTGTTATTCTTAGTATATATAAATGATCTATATGTGATGTGTCAAAGGTCTTAGAGCTGATACTATTTGCTGATGACACTAATATCTTCTATTCGCATACTGATGCTTCCTATCTTATGGAAGTTGTAAATTTAGAATTGAAAAAGATAACGTGTTGGTTTTATACAAATAAGCTATCTATTAATGTTAAGAAATCTAATTTTATCATATTCAGACCGAGACAAAACAGGCAAACACTTGATTTAGCTTTTAATATTAGTAATTATTCGATTGACCGTGTTAAGGAAGCTACTTTTCTTGGTGTAATTTTGGATGAACATTTAACATGGAAATCACATATACATAATGTTGCTAGGAAAGTGTCTAAAGCCATAGGTATAATTTATAAATCAAGTTTTTTCCTTAATAATTTCCTCTTTACGGATGCTTTATTTTAGCCTTATCTACCCATACTTATTCTACTGCGTGAGCGTCTGGGCATCGACCTACCCATCAAACCTCAGAAGATTAATCACACTTCAAAAACGGGTCGTAAGAATAATGTCGAGGAGTGCTTTCGATACTCTCACTGACCCCTTATTTAAAAATTTAAAAATTCTGAATCTTGAGAGTATCTACAAACTTCAAATAGGAAAATTTATGTATGAATACAGATCTGGCTTACTTTCTTATAGCTTCAATAACATGTTTCTGGTGACATGCCAGGTGCATTCCTATGGCACTAGAAGTTCGGAGCATTTTTATTTACCACAATGCAGGACTAATATAAAAAAGTTCTCCATCAGTTTCCAAGGTCCTAAATTTTTTAACTCTCTTAGTTTTGAAATTCGAAATGCAACAAGTACCGCTTCCTTTTGCTGTAAGCTGAAAGTATTCCTCTTATCATAAATAGTAATTTATATATATATATATATATATATATATATATCGTATTTTTTTTCTTCCTTTGCTCTTTTATTTTCTTTTGTTTTGTTTTGTTTTGTTTTTTTTCTTTTTGTCATTTCGCTTTTTTTAGCCTAGAACTATGATTAGTACGACTATCTAATATACTTATTTTAAGATTTACTGTAGCTCTGCCATTGATTTTCCCGTGTGTAATTATGATAATATTTTGTTCTAATTATCTAACTGAGGGAGCCCATTCCTTATAAGCCCGGTGGCTTCTCTTGGGCTTCCTCGCCATGAGAGTTAAGGTAATTAGATTTTATTTGATTTGTATAACTTTTGGCAAACAAAACAATAAACAATAAACAATTCACTTGGCAGTTGCTCTCGAATGTCCCGGAAAAATCGGTTTCATCCATTTTGAACATGTCTCCCTTAATTATTTTAGCTGCTTGTTTCAGTATTGCGTTCTCATTATCAATTGCGGACTCATGACATTTAGTCACGGCTTTGGTGATGTCCGATCTGTATACTAGAAACACATCCTTTTGCCCCTTGGTCGCAACTTCCAACTCAGGCATTTTCTGAAGAATCTGATTTTTTAGATGAGTTTTGTTAACTGTGCTGTTGACCTGGAAGCCTAGTTCTGTAACACTATGACGGTAAATATCTCGCAGTTTTGTCAATTTGAACATCACGCCTGTTTCCTGGCTCGCCTGGATTATCATACTTAGCTTTCGCAATATACGATATTACCTCATCCAGAGTTGCGTCGCGAATGCTCTCTAATTCTTCTTTTTGACATTGATCTATTGCTGTATTGTTTTTTTCCCGATCTCCCTTGTTGTACAGTGTAGCAAGGCAGCGGGAGTGATAAAGTGCTCCCCGTGCAATCATATCCCCCACAGACAACTTTCGAAGCAGTCTCTCATCCTGTATCTGCTGCGCATACTTCCTTACTCTCTGATCTAACATCAAAATACAGACTTTCTCTTCCCCAAAGGACCTTCCCGTTCGGGAGAGGCATCACAACTCTGTCTTGTCATCTTTCTTGGAACTCCTGGTTGATCCTGTTGAACATCTGCGTTAATTTGCCCATGGAAGGTATGATATCACAACTCTTTCTTTTCTCAGCCTGTCTCAAGTTTGTGATAGTGAACTTGCCATAGCAGCTTTTGTGCCACTTAGCATTCCGACTCTTAAATGTTTCTTTCAGGGTGCCACCGTCTACTAATTCTATTATTGTTGCATGTAGAGTTAACTTCATCTCGAGATCTCTAACTTGTGGGATGATTCTACTCAATGTCTCGTGACCGGTGGTAGCATTAGCATCCGCGATCGTATTTCCGGGGCATCTCAATGCTTCCCTCGTCTCTCTTTGACACAGTACACATTTTTGCCAATCAAATACACTATTAAACGTCTGAGACATTGCTGCTGCAATAATATAAAATTCATTTCGTTACTATGCAATGACGCAACAGTCCAATGTTTTTTAATATTTTCATAAATGATTTATTCCTACAAATCAAAACTGTACAATTAAATATATATGCAGATGATGGTCAACTCTACACCGCCGATACGGATCCGGTATCTTTGGAAAGGCGTATCTCGCGTGAGGTAAGCTCTGCAAATGCCTGGTACGAGATCAATGGAATGATAGCAAATCCCAGCAAACACCAAGGGATGATACTACGAAAAACTGACCATCAGTTTAATTTCTCAGTAAATGACTCAGTGGAACTTTTCGGCGTTACGTACAATTGATAAAAATCTTACGTTTAAGCAACATGTGTCCTCTATATGTAAAAAGGTAAACAATCAGTTTAGCGTTATGCAAGGTTTGGCAAACTGATGTCTACTGAAACCATGCTCCGTCTTTATAAGGCATTTATACTTCCTCACTTTTATTATTGTTCTATGGTGTGGCATTTCTCTAGTAAACAAGATTCTGATGAACTGGACCTTTTAAACAAACGTATTCTTCGATTTATTTTCAAAGGGTTTTAAATCTGAGTACAATAATTTACTTAAAAAGGTAGGAACTGCAAACCTTAAGGATAAGCGTTTACAAAACATGATTCTTACTATTTTTAAATGTCTTCATTTTTCTGATTATCCAAGATATTTAAAAGATATGTTTCG